GTTGGATTTGGAGGCTAAGATCCACACATGAGAGGAACCAGGTGCCCTTTGTCCCTCGGGGCCTGGCTTACTTCACTTACCATAGTTTCCAGAACTATATTTGTGTTTCAAGAACACAAACAGCAATGCTGGCGAGGGCTGGGGGGGGGGGACTTACACACACCATGGGCTGGAATATAAACTACTGCAACAGCTATGGAAGTCTGAATGGAGGTTCCTGAGGAAACTGAACGGTTACCTTGTGGTCCCAGGACGCAGGCCCTGGTGTTCATCAGGAGAGGCGCACATCGGGGCGTATCGCTTATCCTATCCTGCGCTGCTCACCACAGCCAAGCACAGAGGCAGTTCTGATGCCCCACCACGGATGAAGGGAGCCAAAAGTGTGCTATCCGCATGGGGCTTTGAGCTCAGGGCCTGGGTGCTGGCCCTTAGCTTTTTCACGCAAGGCCAGCACTCTACCACTTGAACCACAACTCCACCTCTAGCACTTTGGTGGTTCATTGGAGATACAAGTCTCAGGGACTTTTCCTGCCTGGGCTGGCTTTGAACTGCAATCCTCAGATCTCAGCCTCCTGAGTAGCTGGAATCACAGGTGTGATCCATCGGCACCTGTCCACCTGTGTTTTTTTTATCGAGGACATCAGTCACGCGCGGTGTGGACGCCCAGGCCACCCACTGCAAAGGCCTGGTCTCACGTCAGCAGAAGTGGAGTACCAGACGGTACTCCACAAAGCCACTACAGTACTCATCTGCCACCCTTGAAGTTGACATGAAAAGCGTCTCTCCTGGAGCCCACCCAGAGGATTCCATTCTGGAAGTCTCACGGAGACGTGGTCATGTCTAGGTGTAGAAGAAGGGGCTGCCCACCCACGCTGAGCCTCCTCAGAAGCCTGGCCCTGCCACAGGAGGGAACACTTGCTGCTCGCAGAAGCTCAGACTTGACCTGTGCCTCTGGGCGATGAAGTCATCTCAACTGTGCTGTCCAGCCCTGCTCTTGTCGGTCGTGGGACTTGAACTCTGGGCCTGGGCGCTGTCCCTCAGCTCTTCAGCTCAAGGCGAGCGCTCTACCACTTGAGCTACAGCGCCACTTAGCCCTGCTCTTTACCCACTCATCCTGTGCATGTTCCTCCCATGTTTCCCACAGAGTCCCCACACCTCACACAGGCCCTAGCCGGCCACCGGCCTGGGGGTCCTGCATGGGGACCGGCCTGCTGGGCCCATGTGGAAAGACAGCCCTTCCACAGCACCTGTCCACATCAGCAGCTGCGAAAAGGGAGCTGGTGTCAGCTGATTAAAACACACCAGGAAAGCTAGTGTGAGAGCCAGGAGAGAAGAGGGAGGAGCTGGGCAGGCCTATAGGGGAGGAGGGGAAGGAGGGGAAGGGAGGGGTGGAGAGGAAAGGGAAAGGGAGGGCAGAAGAGAAGGGAGAGAAGGAGGAAGGGATGTGGGAGCTCAGGTGCTGAGCCTGGAGATGGCTGGCCTCCTGGATTCCCCAGGAAACAAAATGTGGGCCATGGGCCTCCCATCCCTCCTATCACTGGCTTCCTCCCTTCCCTGCTCAGTCTTCCCTGGTGACTGGACTACTGCAGAGAAGCCAGAGGAGAGAGAGAGGCAGCCGGGCAGGCCAGACATAGATACGGGAGACAGAAGGGTTTTTGTGAGCTCTGACTCCCCTCTGTGGATGTAGACAGAATTGAGAGCTTTTATAAATTCAGACTCCAAGAGCAGATTGGATGTGTACTTGTGTGTGTATACTTCCCTATAAAAACAATTTAAGCCAGGTGTGGGTGGCTGTCATACTGGCTACTCAGGAGGCTAAGATTTGAGGACCACAATTCAAAGCCAACTTGGGCAGACAAGTCCATGAGATTCTTATCTCCAATGACAGCAAAAACCCAGAAATGGAGCTGTTGGGTCAAGCAGTAGAGCACCAGTGTTGAGGGCTGGGAAGGTGGCTCAGTGGTAGAGCGCTTGCCTTGCATGCCTGAGGCCCTGAGTTCGACTCCTCAGCACCACATAAGCAAAAAGAAAAAAGCTGGAAGTGGCGCTGTAGCTCAAGTGGTAGAACGCTAGCCTTGAGCTGAAGAGCTGAGGGACAGCGCCCAGGCCCAGAGTTCAGGCCCCACGACTGGACCAAAAAAAAACAAACCAAAACAAAACAAAACAAAAAAAAAGAGCACCAGTGTTGAGCAGAAGTGAGAGCATGAGTCCCTGAGTTCAAGCCCCAAGACTGCCATGCATACACACACATGTATACATGCACATATGCACACACACACACAGTACCTGCAAGGCACTGTCTGCTAAACCCCAGGACTGGCATGTGCACACGTGCACACACGTGCACACACACAGTATCTCCAAAGGAAGTGTGCCCTGTCTGCAGTGCAGAGAGAGGGGCACAAGGAGGCAGAGTGTGCATGCGTGGGCCTGAGGCTCTGTGGCTGTCATGAGCCCTGGGCTAGACTTCTCAGCCCAATGGACTCCATGGTAGGGTGTCACCTGGGCAGCCCAAGTTTTCAGGCCTCAAGTGCAGCAGCCCTCTAGAAAGAGGATTCCATTCTCTGGTTTCAAACCCAGCACAGGAAAACTCTCACCCACCTGGAGCTCCTGACTTGAGAGGCAGGGAAGATGCTGTCAGCGTACAGCCAAACCCCTAGCTCACGATGGATCTAGGGACACATTTACCCTCTTTACGAAGGAATCCCAGTACAAGTATGATAGGAGAATGTTGTTAGTGAGAGAGGCCGGCAGCTCACCCCTATAACCCCAGCTACCCAGGAGGCTGAGATCTGAGGATTGGGAGACTTATCTCCAATGAACTACCAGAAAACTAGAAGTGGCACCGTGGCTCAAAGTGGTAAAGTGCTAGCCTTGAGCAAAAAAAATAGCTCAGGGGCAGTGCCCAGGCCCTGAGTTCAAACCCCATGACTGGAAAAAAAAAATCTTTTCTACCTGGGCTGATTTTAAACCATGATCCTCAGATCTCAGCCTCCTAAGTAACTAGGATTACAGGCGTGAGCCACCAGCGCCCAACTTGAAGGTCATTTTTGAGAGAGGATTTTAAGTCCTACTACGGTGAGTCCAGACTGCCATATGCCTATTTCAAACTCTCCATTCCTGGACCACAGAGGGAGCACCCTCCAGCCTTCCTTTAGACATTCCTGTCTGAGCTGGTCTACAATCTCACCTCTCCTGTCCTCTGCCTCCCACGTAGCTAAGATTAGCAGGGCGAACCTGTGTTTTTTTTAAGTGTACTTACTACTTAACCTCCTGCCCTTATTATTGTGAATATCATGATGAGTTAGACTTGGTGGTTTTTTAATATGCCATTCAAAACGCACTGGGGTGTGCCTATTGAGAGCACTCCTTCCTGAAGGCTTAGTATGGGGGGGGGGAGGGAGGAGAGCTATAACTTCTACTTGATTCAGAAAGATCCTAGCATGAAGGAAAAGGTAAAGATGCCCGCTGGCCCTGGCAGCTGACGGAAAGTACTAGCAATGACCATCTTTCCAGTGCTCAGACCTGAGCGCACATCTCAGGGAGGCTGTGAACAGACTCATCTTAGGCGGATGGAGGCTGATAAAGAAGACAGGTTTACATTGTTTAAAATGCAATGTGAGCGTCTGGCTCCAAGACCTGCATGCCAGCAAATGAGGGATTAATTTGGTTCTGAAAGTCATGCAAATTCTCTTTGTGAGTTTGTGCATCTGTGTAAGAGGGGGGGGGATACACATGACTGCATACCATGGGGGGGGGCTGCACACCTTGGGGGAATGCACAGCATGGGGGGAAATGCACACCATGGGGGAGAGGAAATGCACACGGGGGGGGGGAATGCACACCATGAGGGGACTGCACACGGGGGTGGGGGTGGAATGCACACCATGGGGGGGGAACACCCCGGGGGGGTGACTGCACACCATGGGGAAGGGGGGAATGCACACCTAGGGCATTCTCCATGCACACGGGGGGGGAGGGGAATGCACACCTGGGGGGACCGCACACTACGAGGGGGGGAACTGCACACCGAGGCCCCCCTACACAGATCCTTGAACGGTGTAACTGAGCATGCGCACTGTGCCCCCCATCCCCTGCCCGCAGGACTTGACGGACTAAACGACGGCTCAGCGGGGGGGGGTCGCTGCTCTTGCTTTTTTTCTCTTGGTCAGGGGACTTGAACTCTGGGCCTGGGCGCTGTCCCCGCGCTCTACAGCTTGACCCACGGCGCCAATTCCGGTTTTCTGGCGGTTCAGTGGAGATCAGAGTCACGGACTTTGCTGCCCGGGCTGGCTTTGAACGCGATCCTCAGACCTCAGATGCAGTGAGGACTCAGCAAACCCGGCGGCCCGCACTCCCCGGCCCTGCACTCCCCGGGCCCCGCACTCCCCGGGCCCCGCACTCCCCGGGCCCGCACTACTCTGCCCCGCACTCCCCGGCCCCCGCACTCCTCG